TTTCCTGGTCCCCATAAGGGAAAACTCTATTTTATAAAAATCGGTGACTGCTATGAAAAAACTAAAACTGCAAAAACACTTGTATTTTGCTAGGTTATTTATGGTTAGGGCAGGGTAGGGGTTAAGGTTGTTATAGTTAGCGTTAGCATTTTTCCCATTGAAATGAATGAGCGGTCCCCATAAGGATACGTTTACCCTACGTGTGTATGTGTGCGTGTATGTGCCCTTCAATGGACTGCATTTGCTGGATATTCTCAATGCTTGCTGTACTAAGCAAACGAGTGATCAGTGATTCATTTTCCAGATGGGAGGAGCTATAAAAGGATTCCTGGCTCTTAATGCTGCTGCTTTTTAATTTTAATTTTTAAAGCCCTCCTGTCCACCCCCTTAATTTTGCTGTTGTGGACCTCAGGGTGATCACATGTTAAATCTCTGCTTTCTTATTGGTTAAATCGGACCTCAGGCATAACCTGCATCTATAAACCACACCCTTTTATACACAGAAGAGTTTCTCTGGTGTCTCCACCTTCGAAACCTACGCAAGATGCTCCGTTAGTCAGGCTAGATCAGTTTCTTTATGATCTCTAGGGACCGGAGGAAATGACGTCATGTTTCCTACTTCCAAAACAAGTCTTAAGTTGAAAGCCAGGCTTTAACTGCAGTAAACCCGTTTTGAATTAACCTATGGCTTCATCTCGTTTAGGGAGATCTGCCCCCCCCCCCCTCCCCCAGCCGGCTCCCCATTAAAGCCAAGAACTGAAAGTAGTAGAAATGCTCTTCTGTGTCTGCATCATGTCACCGTGGTTTGACATCGCCACCTGCTGGACAAAAGAGATTTTTTTTTTTGAAACATAAAGCTGGCAGTTTAAAGTTGGAGTGATTGATCCCTTTTAGGTACACAGGCTCATTAAGACTAACAACCCGCATAGAGTGATGCTCAGAAAGAGAAACATCCCGTCAGCATCAGTTCTGTGGGTGGAAACACCTTGCTAATGAGAGAGGTCAGAGGAACTTAAAGGACCTGAAATTTACCCACTAATATAGCGGCTCACTGTAACCGTGGACCTGCTGGACACAGAATGAGGTCCCGGTTAGTATTGGTATATGTGTCTACTGAAGTGACTTATTTAGAACCAGCACCAGCCAGTCATCCTGCTTTTTCAGCTTTTTTTCCCCTCCACCCATCTTACCACTATACTTGGCAGGGCACAAACACCATAGTATTATGCTATTACTTATGTATTAACCACAAACTAAGTCTGAGTTACATACTGAACTCATGTTAATTTACTATTAAGTAATATTTTATCTCAGGTAGTATATTTATTACTGTATCTAATTCTAACTACTGAAGGAACAAACAGTGAATAACAAGGAAAAACTGATCTCATGCTTGTTCACCAATATTGAATTGTGATGCATCTTCTCAATTACCTACTATATTTGTTCATGATTTGCTCATAATTTGTACTTCAGTAGTAACTGAGTGATTGCTAAGTATTTGTGCCTTGTCACGTGAAGCGTTACCCACATTTTAATACTAGTACTACTTAAACTTGCTATACTTAACTTGCTATACTTTCATTGAGTATGTGACTGAATCAGTGTCCCAGTATGTTATGAGTATCTTACTTCTGCTGTTGACATGAGTTATGATTCGTGTTACATTTGCTGCACCAACCTGCACATTTATGAGAACAGCCAGTTTGTATCTGAATTTTCACTGTATTGACTTTTTTTGTTCCTTTTTAATGTTTTTTTTTTTTTTTTTTTTCCTTTCTCTCTCGCCTAGGTAAGGTTTGTAGGATTCTTCTTTTTTTCCCCTGTGTGTGTGAGTTTTATCATGACTAGTCGTCTCTGCCATTAAATCCCTTTCAATCCATTACATTCATTCTGTTTAAATTTATGAAATCATGCCCCCTGCCCGGTCCGATCAGTAGCAAGGTGGTGGGGGTTACAATCGTTCCTTTTTGAATGGTTTGCTGCAAGGGCTTGGCCCCATTTCCCTCTCCCTGTTCTCATTGGGGACCCTGTGTGGCAGTGCTTTGGGAGGGGTCAGATACATGCCCATTTGTGTTCTTGGCCTGGGATGCCCCTCACCCGCCCCAACACCCTGCCAGACTTCAAATAAGCCAATTGTCTTTTTCTACTGCGTCTCTAACTCTGATCCTCCAAAGAGGATGCCATCTGTCCTCTCCCTTGTGATTTAAATTGATGATGTCGTGATGATGTCGTGATGATGTCATAATGATGAATGTTGCTATAAATGAGATCATCAAAAGCAAGTTTGCCGAGTTGATATGGATGGTATGGGGGCTCGTCTAATTCAGGTGCATTCCTTTAGGCCACATGCCCTTTAAAGCTGTTTTAATCCTGCCGGTTTCAACATCTGTACTTTTGTTTTGCCTAGAAATGCCCTTTTACCTAGATGATTCAAGACAGGATAACTCCCTTAATGTTTTGTAGTATATTAACAGCTATACTAACATGCTTGTTGGTGCTGTCATAGCCTAATATACCATGGAGGTATCCCCTGCATGTCTGGGTGGGGCCTTATGGTTCCTCATGAGGGCTAGGTGTGGGGACAGGGCCACAAGTAGGCCGGTAAGTTGCTTCTCCCTGTACTCCCAACAAACGCCCCTTAGCTTGCTTTGCTCTTGTGGTTGGTGGGATGGAATGCATGCTGGTCCCCGCGAGGGAGGTCGAGTCCCGCTCTGCGCCGTCTGCGCTGCACGTTGCGCCGAAACGCCGCATCACGGCATGACTTGTGATGCGGTGCGCCGTGGAAATGCACTGCGGGATGATGACCTCCCGTAGCTCCTAGACTTCATGTGAGGCTGTCATGCACGGTTCTGAGCTTGACGGCAGACTGTGGGCCGATTCCCAGAGCCTTCATCTTCTCCAAGAAGGATGGGGGGCAAGAAGGTGGGTCTGATCAGGGGAAAGGGGGAGAAGATCCACAAATGGAGACCTCCACATCTGCCCCGCTGATCCTAAGCCACACGGAGCCTCACCTGCTCCTCCTGTTCTTCAGTGTTCCTACTTAACCATCTGGTGTTTCTTTTTTGCAGTGTTATGATCCGGCCACGTTGTGGTGATGGTAAACTTAGTGGTAATTTTTATTTTTCCCCAATTGAATTGTCTGTTTATGTCATTCAATGCACCAATTAAGTAGGCTTCAGTATTTTCTCTCTCTCTATCTCTCTCTCTCTCTCTCTCTCTATCTGTCTATCTATCGCTCTCTCTCTCTCTCTGTTGTAGCCTTCGACCTGCTGCCTGTTTCCCTTTTCCCCCCTTCTTTATTTGTAATTACTTGCATTATTATGTTCTGTATGTTGTCATACGTTTTCAGTTTTTTAACCTTTTTAACATATACTACATTTTATACCTCTATCAGATATGTCTGCTAAGTAATCAGTATGTGGAATTCTATTGGGCAATATTGGGCAATCAGTCTAAATTCTGGGTGCTTCCATCCCCCTTCTGGGACAGAACTTATTTTTGCTTGATGTAGTTCCACCTGTGGGCCGGCTTCACCGATTGTGCTCCGCCTTTCTGGCACATCCAGCTTCTGACGACAGCTCTATGGGCCAATGGGCACGCAGCAGTAACAACTTGGCCCCGCCTTCCAAAGATATCCTGCTGGCTGATTTGCCAATGGGGATACCGGCAGCTCTCCTGACACCAATATAGCTGTATGGCTGTGCCCTGCCTCCCATGTGAAAGCATTATGCAGTGTTTGGTCTTCAGGGGACTACGAATTAATGAATCATTTAATGGCAATTAAATCCAAGCCCGATTTTGTCCTGTAAAGTGGGGTGTAACTGTCTAGGCCTGCTAGGATTGCTAATGGACATAATTGCTACAATGCGTGAGTCTCCTGCTTGGGTTTGTTCAACCTGATTTGTGACAGACGGCTTGTGCCGGGTGTCGAAACACAAGGGACTGCGTAGCTTGGTATTTCAGAGGGATGTTTAATTGGCTTTGTGTGTCATCTGTGGGAAATGTTTGAGCTGCAAACTACTTCAGTTTTGTTTGTAGAAAAATCAGCCTCTGATCTTAGAATTGTTAGTGTTAGCCTGTTTGTGTGAGAGAATATAAAGCTACCCTGATTGACCCCTTTTAGGCTTGTTAAGACTAACAACCCGAATAGTGATGGTCAGAAGAAAAAAAATCCAGTCAACAGCAGTTCTGTGGGTGAAAACATCTTGTTAACGATAGAGGTCAGGAACATAAAGGATGGGTGAAAGGGTGATAGTCTGTGGAAAGCTAAGGGACTGTCCACAATTGGTGGGAATTGTGCATTTAAGTATCAAGTTACCGACTGGGAGTTTTCTTAAGGTGAGAGGAATCTACATGACTATAAACTCCGATAAAGTGTCTCCATCTGCTCGGTTTTATTGGATGATAAAATGCATTCTGGGATAGAATGGGTCAGAGTAAAGTCAACAATGCATTCTGGGATAGAATAGGTCAGAGTAAAGTCAACAATGCATTCTGGGATAGAATGGGTCAGAGTAAAGTCAACAATGCATTCTGGGATAGAATGGGTCAGAGCACAGGTGTCAGACTCCAGTCCTGGGGGGCCGGAGCCCTGCACATTTTTGGGTTTCCCCTCGTTTAACACACCTGATTCAACTTCTTGTTCTAATTACCACACAGCTGTTGAGCTGAATCATTTGTGGTGGAAGAGCGAAAGAACTAAGCTACACAGGGCTCCGGCCCCCCAGGATTGCAGTTTGACACCCCTGGGTCAGAGTAAAGTCAACAATGCATTCTGGGATAGAATAGGTCAGAGTAAATTCAACAATGCATTCTGGGATAGAATGGGTCCGAGTAAAGTCAACAATGCATTCTGGGATAGAATGGGTCCGAGTAAAGTCGACGGGTGACTTGAGCAGAGCCCTAAGAATTCCTAGCCCCCTGACAGCCAAACATTAAATAGGTTACAGTTTGGATTCGGTTAGCCCCCTACTGGTGAAACCTAAGGAAGACCTTGTGTTTAAAAAGGCAAAAACAAAAAAAACTGAAAACAAGTTTGATTAGGAACCTTTTTTGAAATATTACATTACCCTATCTGGCGGTGGAGGCGACAGCAGCATAGTACCTTTTGTGTTATGTCTGTTGTTTAAAGACGCCCCCCCCCAAAACAAAACCCCTTACCAAAGGTAAGTCTCCACCTCCCTTAGTGTCACCACAGCAGTATCTGACCAGTGACTTGATCTTGCTGCTGTAGTTCAGTGCTTCTGTCTGTACCTTTTTCTTTCCGCTTTGACCAGTTATGAGTGACGGTTTTTTATGTTTCAATCTTTATTTTATTTTCCCAAAGTTTTATTTCAGCTCTTTTCACAGCTTACCTAAGAGTCTTCCCTCTCCCCCATCCGTGTGTGAGGCTGTGAGCTAGGCAGGTGGGGGGGGGGGCCCGCTAAGCGGCGCCGGCTCCCCCGTCCCGCCGGGGGCTGACGGTGGGCTTTGCGCGTTTAGGGCGTGACGGGGCGCAGGAAGCTGTAAGCCCTTTATCCTTTTTGGGGGGGTCATTTATCAAATGCCTGCGGCCAAAATGCTTCCTGTAGGGGGCACAGGTTGGGATTCAAGGCCTGTATTTAGCTTTTAATGGGATTCAGCACAGACAGCAAGAGCAGGGGGGGGGGACATAGTCAATGGGGTGGATGTAGAGGTGAGGTCTTGCTTCCATGAAGCGCCGAGCTTTCCTGGGGCCCCCGTGAGCCAGCATGACCACCGCAGCCCGGCCCCCATTTAACCTCCATAGGGAATGCATGAGCTGGGCCTCAGGTTGGGGATGCTGAGGCAGAGCCGCTATTGGCAGAGCCGCTATTGGCAGAGCCGCTATTGGCAGAGCCGCTATTGGCAGAGCCGCTATTGGCCGAGCCACTCAGCGCCCGTGAGCTGTGAGAATGGCTGTTGTTTCAGTTCACTGTAGCTTTCCGGTCTCTTGCACTTCATGGCAATGCCTCTAACCCAGCACAGCGAGCGTGGCAGTCCGCAGCCGGGCTGCCCCCCCCCCCCCCCAATGAGCCGCCTCCCCTTTTTCCACCAGCTGACCCTTGGCCTCTGTCTCCCTTCCTCGTAGGCCGAACCGACCCCGTGCCGATCATCCTCAAGCAAGATGTCATGGGAATGGGACGCATGGAGATGGAGGTAGGAGACGGTGGCTCTGTGTCGGGGTGTGGTTCTTGCCTGCCTGTGGTTCTTGCCTGCCTGTGGTTCTTGCCTGCCTGTGGTTCTTGCCTGCCTGTGGTTCTTGCCTGCCTGTGGTTCTTGCCTGCCTGTGGTTGCTTCGTCTTGGACGTCATTTCTTGTCTAGAGCACTGTTTCCCAACTGGGTTCTCCGGGATCCTGAGCCGCTCCACGTTTTTGCTCCCTTCCCGCTCCCTGCCGCATTTTTGCTGGGAGCTGTGAGGGAGGAAAAATCTGTTCTGTCTGCTGGTTCTCGAGGACCAGGTTGGGAGAAAGTGATCTAGAGGTATTTACCTTAAGCCCGATATTTGGTAGGCAGGGTGGGCAGCAAGGCGGGGTATGGAATGTCCCTCGACCCCCGCATGTCTGTCTGCGGGTCCATGTGGTGCGTACGTGCTGGAGTGCAAGATAAGTTAAGGCCGAGGTCTGTGTTCCGTCCTCAGCTGGACTATGCTGACGACGCCACAGAGAAACGCAGGGTGCTCGAGATCGAGAAGGAGGACACTGAGGAGCTCCGGCAGAAGTACAAGGTGCGCCGGCATCTCATGATGATTTTTCTGTGTGTCGTGTCTCACCTCTGTGTGTCTTACTTCTCATGTGATGGTACAATGAACGTTACATTAGCTTTAAATATTACCGTATCTTCAGACAATGTAAACGCTGCTTTAATGTAGCACAGAGCATCATGCCTATGCATGATTAAGATGTAAAAGCAGCAACTTTTGGCTGCTTAAGAGGGTCCAGAGTACTTGGGTAGATCGATCTAAATCCAGCTTCCCTGGACAGCTCTGCTGTCACTCTTGTACCTGAAGCCAGGATTGGGTTATGCAGGCAGTCCCTGGGTCAAGAACATCCCACCTATGGATAACTATTACTTACGAACAACCGCTGTAAAGTCTATTATATTAAAAAAATTGGGTGAAATACAATGCTAATAACATAGAGAACTTCGTGATGCTCGTGAAAACTTTGCGTTGCTCCAGCTGCTCGTCGGGTTGAGGTCCAGCATAGTACCATATGTAGCTATTATTATTATTATTATTATGTACTGTATTATTCTGACTTGCCTACTGAAATTCAACGTAAAGACAAACTTAGGGAATCGATGTCATTCGTAGCTTGTGCTCAGGCTGTTTTGATGCAGTTGAGGTGATGATCCACCCCCTCCCCCGAATGGTACAGTCCGATGCAGTTGAGGTGATGATCCCCTTCCCCCACCGAATGGTAGAGTCCAATGACTGATTCATTTGATAGGACTTTAGAGTTTTTTTTTATTTTATTTTATATAGTGTTGGGCTTCCAGCTCATTCCTGCATAGGACTGCTGGGTTTCCTTAGGCAGAAATAGCAGGCTGTTCTCTCTTGGTGTCATGGGTGCTCATCCTCATGCCAGCTCAGGTCATTCTAACAACTGTCTTACCCCTGGGGACGTTCTTAATAGGGCACTAAATAGGTGACCGCTCTGTACCAATTTTGAATGTGTCTTGCAGGACTTTGCTGAAAAGGAGAAGGCAATCGCTAAAGCGCTGGAGGACCTGAGGGCCAATTTCTACTGCGAGCTCTGCGACAAGCAGTACCAGAAGCACCAGGAGTTCGACAATCACATCAACTCCTACGACCACGCGCACAAGCAGGTAGGACCCCCGGCCCGCCTCCCGCCCGCCTCCCGCCCCGCCTCCAACCCCTGTGGATGCCCCACAATTACGGGCTTCGCCTCCGCCGAGCTTCCACCGTGAAGACCTTTCCGTAGCCGCTCCTCTTGCACACATCGCCTCATAACACGCAAACATGCCTGTGTCAGGCAACGGTCCTGCTTTGCATCACGTGTTGTGACCGACTGCCGCACATGGGGCAGCATGACGGCCCTCGGCACCCGTGAAGACCGATCTCACTCTGGAATGACATCTGGAAATTGGAGCCACGTTATCATTTGGGTGTATTCTGTGAAACCCGTGCGTTTTGATTTTGCGGTACTGAGGAGTAATCTGCCGAGAGGGGCCAGTACTGGCAGCACGAAGGTGTTTCTTCATGCTCGAGTTGGGGTTGGCCGGAGGGAATTGTCGAAAGAACACCGCGCACTTGTTCCACAGATCCCACAGCATCCAGTTAGGCGGATCCAGGGAGTCGCCTTGCCTCCGTTTTGTGTCCCTGCTTGTTCCCGTCAGGACTGTGTGGGGACTGTGTGTCTGATGGGTTGTCACGGTGCGTGTTTCTGTGGCCTTTTCCTCTTGGGTGCAGGTGCAGATTTCAGTTTTAACTGCTCTGTACATACGTGTGCGTGCGTGTGCGCGTGCGTGTGTGCGTGCATTCGCGTGTCCGTGTGTGTGTGCGTATTCGTGTGCGTGTGTACACACGCTCCCGTTCAGCGGCTCATGGCTTTGTCTTAACACTGTCTAGTGCCCTGCTCACAGTGCCACCTTCACACAGCTGTTACAGAAGGAAGGATAAACTGCAGCAGGATATAGCCATACAGTGCCCCCCCCCCCATCACCAGCCTCCCCCCGCCAAACCCCATGTGCAGAGACTGCCTGCGGTGCAATGCTTGATATTTCCTTTTTACTTTAAAAAAAATTACTGCCTATTTCAGGATGTTTTACATCTTCCTTCCTGTTTTTTTTATTTTTTTTCCTTTTTTTTTTGTTTTTGTTCTGCGATTGTTTAACATTTTTCAGCCGATGTATTGCCAGCAAACCCCCCTATAAAAGTGGCCATCCAGACTTCCCGCGTGAGTTTCTCTCTACTCGCTTGTCTGCCTCCACCCACACTTCCTGTCATGAGCA